TTGCGAGGCGATGATTTTACGTTTTAACGCGATTCGCACAAATTTTCCCCCTTATTTAATCCCGACGGGTCGCGAAAGGGCGCGCGATGAAGTCCGTCGTTGAACAAAACGATAATGTCACGTGCAAATCTCTCGTCGTCGTTTTTGAAAAGCGCGTTTATTGCAGAACATTATTCCACCTTTATGCGCGTCCTTCGTCTGATCTACAATGATAATTATCATTTGGCGATGCAACGGTCGACCCTGCACCTTCACCCGTATTATTATCTCGTATAAGAAATTTCTCGCGTTTCCTCCGTTTCATTACTTTTCTTTCCTTCACGCTTTCTATTCCACAGAAATGTGTTTTATACCGCGCGTATTATACCGTGTTTCCTTTTCTTACACTACATTTCGATTTTACATCTGCTTGGACTTGAATGTTTATTATTGTTTATTGTTATATATATCTTTTTCTTTTCGCGGCTAATGTGTTTTACTTACGACGTAAGTTCTTGTATCCGCTGTCTGCACGTGATTTGATCGGAGAAAGTGCGCGCGGACAACGACACTCGCCGCTGCTCGCACGTGTAACACACATCCCGTGCTTACCTACCTACCTATCCGGAGCTCATTGACCGTTTGTTCAACTTCTTCTTCTTCTTCTTTCACACTCCTTCTTCTACTTACAGACTGTCAAGCGTGACGGTTCGCGTAATTACAGAGCCTGTTAAACAAATTATAAAGCGCAAGAAGTCGCGCACACAATAACTTTCGTCTTCTTCCTGTTTATCAGAAAGGAAGACTAATTATACGAGCTCTGCAGTTGTTTCACGATCCTATCTTTTCATTCTTGCCATATAATATAACGCGTATTTTAGTGTCGTAAATTTGTAGAATAAAAAAAAAAAAAATACTTGCCTATTAACACAGAAAAAGAAGTCGAAAAATTATTCGAAAAAAAATGATGTCTCATTATCGAGATATGTCGTCAGTTGAAAACCGAGAGCTAATTATTCGATTTTCTTTGTTACGCCACGCATTACGTCACGGAGATTTAGCGTTCCGCGGAACGATTTAACGTCGTAATTAATTCCGACGAGGAGGCTGCGCTTCGGGAGCACAACGTACACGTGCAAAACGCCGACTTACGCTCTCGGCGAGCGCGGAGAAAGTGAAAATAATTTCTTCATCGGAAACTCGTCGTCCCTTTCGCCTTTCGCGGTTCGCCAGCATCAGATAGCGGCGCGGCTAGTTAGACATCGCCGTAGCTGTCCACCTGTGAGCAAGGGACCTTCGTTGGCTTCTCTTCATTAGCACGGCGACGGCAAGTTCAAGGCCGACACGTTACAAACTAAGATCAAGACAAAGCAGAAAGAGAGAAAGAGAGAGAAGGAGAAAGAAAGAAAGAAAAAAACAGCGTCTTCCATTTCAGTCATCATCATTATCACACCATCGTCGTCATCATCATTTCGAAAATCCCGGGGCTTCCACGAGTCTAGTCGTCACCCATTTACGCACGCCAATCACGCGTGTGAGAAACTTGGCGATCTCTACTACATACGGAAGAGAAAATCTCCCGATCCATCGAGTTTTCTATATCTCTTTTTCTCTTTCTCTCTCCAGATCAGAACCACAGGCTCTGTCGTAAATCATGCACACAGACGTTTTCCTCACTTCTCGTCACCGCGCGCCACTGTCACGCCGATCAGATGCAATCACGTCATCGTCGCGCGCGCGCGCGGTTGGACCCTTTGATCTCGCGGCGCCGATCTTTGTTCGATAATATGAAAAGTAAGCGTGGATTTTATATTATAGAGTAACAAAGTCGAAGAGAGAGAGAGAGAGGGATAGATAGATATTTTATACCGATTAGAAAAATACACGGACGCGAAATAGCGAAATTATGCAGCAATTGAGCTTCGAGCCTCTTATCTCGACCGGCATCACGACGCATTATGCTACCATTATACGTTTATGCAAATCGAAGTGGCGAAGTGCCGCGATTGTCGCACGACGGAATCAATCAGGATATTGTGGCGAACGTAATGCGGCGTCAACTCAATAAAGCCCGGCAGCGTTGATTGAGTAGTAACCCGGGGACATTTATTAGATCGGCGCTTTTGCATAAACGCAATTTTTTTCCAAGAAGCTCGTATTGCGTTCGAGGGTGCGAGGGATCTTAACGACCCGCCTAGCCTGTTCCCCCATCATCATCTATGCAATAACTCTCCTCCTAGCGGCGGCGGCGGCGTGGCGCGCACGACGGCATGTCCAATGTGGAGCACACCGTCCGTCCATCCCTCATCAGCTAGATCCACGGCACGTAGGCCGACTTTAAGGCTCAATTATTTATGTAGCCGAGTGAGTGCCGCTGATTCGCCCATGTGGATGATTACGCCGATCATAATAGGGCTGCTCGCTGCCTCGGCGAGAGAAAGATAGTCGACATTGTGATTGGGCCGGAAAAGACGAAGAGAGGAAGAGATCGTGGGCTAACTCTGCCCAACAGAAATCAAGTAAAATAGAAACAAGACCGATCCTCAATCACGTGTAATTGTACTCTCGTCTGTTCTGCGCCGCGCTACGCGTACCTTACTTTGATACTTATATTTAGTGGCGCACAATTTTCTCCCGGTAAACTCGTCTTATATATCTCAGAGCCGGAGAGACCCCTCGGTAGCCTCCTCCTCTTTTTCTCGTTATTTTCTTTATTTATAGCCATATTCGCTGAAACGCTGCGTATCACCCCCGACGCCCCGATATACGGGGGCCTCTCGCATAAAGTCCGGGACGAGATCTCTAACGTAAACACGCTTATCCGCCAAATCGATCGTAAAATATCCTGTTATTATCGGGGTATGCTACCGTCCATGACGCATCCGATCGTCGACGCGTGATCGCGAGCCTACACTTCGCCAAGAAAGGGAGAGAGAGAGAGAGAGAGACCGTAAACATTCATTTTATTAACTATTTGTAACAAGCAACATTTCAATGGAACCTCTCTTCGCGTATTTTATTATTGCACGTAATTTATTTGCATAAAGTTTAAAACTGTCTACAGATTCTTTCGATTCTTTTAAATTAGCGTTGCATTCTCTTTGAGAGAATACGTAAAAATAAATCTTTTCAAAGACCCCGAACAACCTTGAGATTACATCTTGCTGCGCGCGAGGACTTATCGCTATTTGGTGCCAAATGGTACAACAAGCAAGACAAGATTGCGCTCAATGTCAACAGGCGAACAGTCGCATTTTAACGCGAAACGCGCGATGAGTACACACGAGGCCGCGCGAGGTCCGTATTCACAATTCTTTTTTTTTTTTTTTTTTTTTTTCCACTTAACATCGCGTCAGGCGCTAAAGCGTCATCGAGGACAATCCGGGGAGTCGTCTCACTCACCCTCACCTCGACGGCCTCGTCGCGAACCAAGTCGGTTCACCAAGTATAGCATTGTCCGTGGACCAAGTCGACCGTGGCAGGATCGAGCGTTGGCGGTAGCGCGCTGTTGCAGGTTTTTGGTGCGGAACCTTGACCGAGTGACGTTCACCAGCGACGGCAGCAGCGTGCGGTCGCGCAGAGGTAGGGAGAGGTAGGCGCAGGTAGGTAAGAGGAAACCTTTGATGCGAGAGAAAGAGGAGAACAGAGATGGAAGAGAAAGGGAGAGGAAGGAGGACACAAGACAGAGGTTGCAGAAGCCAACGGGCAAAACGCGTATGATCGGCCGGTGTGATGGCACTGATACACTTATACAAGGTATCGGATACCCCGACACGGTGTATCTTTCATCATCAGTCAATATCAATCGGCATCACCTTTTTGGCCGAAGTATTAATCAGGCGGGACAGTATCGTGAGTATCCGATCGAGTCTCATCGGGACCGAACGGTATCGAACGAAATGTGTTACAAATTACAATAGATAGATTAGAGAGAGAGATGGAAACAAGGAAAAAAACTACGGAGAAGTTCGCATCATCAATGATCAGCGTAAACCATTGACTGAATCCTACCGCGTCCTAGCGATGGCGCATTGATAACAGAAGAGTATCGATTATTTGACACGCGGTGCAGCTTCTATCGTCAGTCAATTTCAATCGACATCCAATTTTTTGAGGCAATTAATCTCGAGAGTATTGAAAAAAAACTTATCGAATCATATATCGAACCGTTTTATAACGCGCTTCATTTCTCAAATCTTAAAACATTTTTTGTTTTTGTAACTTGCCATGAAAAAAACCAGCTATATCGTGATATTAATGGTAGAATATTTTTTTATTTAATTGCTTAATTTTTTTACGGTTTAAAAGATAAATTTTGCCTTACAATCATCCCAAGATTGTGCAATACTTCAATACAAGATTGTTGATTTATCGATACCTATAAAAAAAAAAAAAATCAGCAAAGAGACTCCTTGTAAATAGGTCGCCAACTACATCTCTTTTTAATATTAAAACCACAAGGTAAATCCGCGTCGACAAATCAAAAGATGAGTACAATAAGAACTTTCGGATTGGCAAAGAGCTTGTCCGAACCACCACAGCGTCAATTAACTAATCGTTTATCGGTGCAAATCCGCTCCAAGGATTCATTCCGAGCGGATCCGTCGCTATTTATCCTATATGTAGCAGTCGCCGCTTCTCGGCGTGTGTACACCTTGAAGTCGCCCCGTAACATCCGCGCCGTGTCCGTTCGTCCGTCCGTCCATCCGTGCCTACTCTCCTGCCTGTCTCTCTGTCGGTGCCCAGGTCCGGTACGCCGGTGTGGGATAGGACGGCGTGGAAGGAGTAGTAAGCGGCCTACGCAGTTTCAAGCCGGGTCCCAGCTTTTATTAGTTCTTCGGCGCTCGGCGGAGAACGTACGAGGAACGAGAGCCGGTGTGTGCGTGGTGTGGGTCTTTTGCGTACCCCCTGGTCCGGGACCCCCTGGTCGACCGGGTTTCTCCCCCAAAGCAGCTGAGACGCGCGGCGAGCACGAATCCAGCACGAGTCGCGCGAGGTACGAGATCAGTGTTTTTCTCTTTCGAGGTGTCACAGCGGTAAAAAAAAAAAAAAAGCGAGCGAGACGTGAATCGAATTGTCTCGATCGTCTCACGCGCGAGTTCTCGAGGGATCGCGTAACCACACAACGAGTGATTCTGGGATATATCCGTCAGTGCGAGGCAGTTTTGAAGATCGGATTGCCGGTTACCGAGTGTATATATTTCCGACCTTGGGTGTTACGTCTTTGGGTATATCAGATCGCGACGAGGTGTCGGAAAATCGGGGGAAGGGAAGAGAGAGATATAGCGCAGGAGCCGCTGATTGATTATTTTATTTTTCGTTAGTGTGCTAGTCCCTCAGATCGATCTCGCGGATCTCACGCGCTTGGGTGATAGTGACAGTTGCCGAACGTGAGAGTGTTCAGTTCTCAAGTACATAATACCACGAAGTCCCTCCGAGAGAAAGGAAGAGACAGAGAGATTCTCTCTTGCTCCTCTTCTTCTCGCGCTTCTGGTTCTCTGCTCGGGGAAATCGATCGTGTACCTGAAGGGATCGTATCCTTAGAGAAAATACCGGATATCTAAGCGATCGGAATGCTACTGTGTCAGTGAAGGTAAATGTAACATCGATAGGAGAGCAGAAGTCGAGACGCGTATTATTGCCGACGAGACGACGATTGGCGAGCGAGGTTGCTACCGCGAATTCGATTTGCGGGAAATTACGCGCTCCGATTGCACCGCGAAAGGGAAACGATATAGAGCATCTTCGATAGTGGATAGTGGACAGAGTCTGCGCGTGTGTTCTCGCGAGGCCAAATAGATTGCGTATAGAGAGTTGGTTTTCTATCTACACGCGCCCGAGACCGCCAGTTATTTCGCGGGCAGATTGCATCTGCCGGTCGCTCTGCTCTGCTCAGCCTCGCTCGGGCCGCGGCTATACGCGCGGTCGCGGGCAAATCAGAAATCCAGCGGAAGGGTAATATCCCATTAACTGAAAGATCAATTAACTCGCGTTAACAGACACTTTAATCACCGGTATGCGCCTATAGCGCGCTCTTCGCGAATCTAGGTGTTTAATCTGCCCGTGCCGAGATTGAGTCGGTCGATCATGCGCGCGCGGGCTTCTTCTCGCTAGTTTCTCTATGGGGAGCGATCGTTACGATGTCGAAGACCCTCGCGCGCGGAGAGACGAGATGCGCTCCCGCATTATTTATTGACGTGATCGCATTAACGATGCAACGGCGTTGGTGCCCGATTACAGCGGGAATAAACATTTATGGAAATATCTAAAGTGGTCTGACGCGCGAATCGGCGTTCTTCAAGGATATCTTTCCTGCCCCTCTCCCTCTCGCTCTCTCTCTCTCTCTCTCTATCCATATCTCACTCTTGATTAGTCTCCCGAATTAATACGCAGGAGAGATTTACGACCGTGAATTATACGAGATTAATCTAACGCGTTTTTAAAATCACCGAATTTGTCAATTAATTTTGGTTTGTTTTCGGATTGTTTAACAAAGTGCGACATGTGTGAGAGATGTTTCACGCAAGCACGTTAATTTGACAGCTGAGGAAGAACTCAATTAGAAAAAATTACATGGGATTGTGAATAAGTGAATATTATATTATATTATTTTTGAAATAAAAAATTATTTCAATTATTTGTTTTAAACCATCATTATGATACGCGATACATCTAATGTATGAAAAATTGGGTTTGTTCTGAATGGAGCTCGGTGAGCGGAGCCGGAGCGCGGTCGCGCCTCCTTTTTCCCTATTTTCTTCTCGCCCTTTTGTTTCGCCTGTCCGCACTCGCGAGATGAAGATCGCGCCTATCAGGCCCGAGGTGTAAATCCCCTCGCTGAATCTCCGATACGGTTTTATCGCGCACGTCGCCTGCGCGGCCACGATAGAGACGTACGAGGAAAGGGGAAGTTACGAGTATAAAGAAGACGCGAGACGGTACAACGATAAGCACCAGGACGCACCGGAAAGAACTTTCGGCCTTGACTTGTGTTACGAAGTGTGTCAGTGTTACTCACGCACGAGCGGGGGAACGAGACGGGTGGGGAACTTTTGATGGGAATCGTCCGTGTTGTGCCGCATCCATTCACCATAATGCATCCATGTACGTAACGTGACCCCTTCGCGCGCGAAGAGAGAGACTCTCATCCAGATTTCTCCTACGACTCGGGGATGTAAGCAATGGCCGCGGCGGCCTCGCATAATCGAACGGCGCAGAGACGCGCGTGCAAAGGAGAAACGTAGCAGCGCGTGTGTATGCAAATAAAATGATTGAGCGCCGGTTTTTTCACAAGCCAAGTGTGTGACTTACGTACAATTTCCATTTCCATTTTTGGTATCCGCGTCATGCTCGTGTGCGTGTCTTCGCGTCGCGTGTTAGTTTTTAGTCATATTTCCGCGTCGCGGCTAGAGAGCGGTACAGTTTGTGTTATCGAATGAATATTTATTAACTTGTTACGGTAAAAAGTCGTTTTTTTTTTTTTTTTATTTGGATTACGAAAAATCCGAAAGTCAGCAACGCCGTGGTGTGCGTTTCAACAGCAACGCCACGTGAAATATATTTTACTTACGCGAGTTCGCAGTGAAAGCGTGAAAATATGGAGCATTCAAAAAGCCGTGACGGGTTATAGACCGGGATGGAAACGGCATCGGGACGAACGACCTGTAAGAGAATTCCAAAGAGCTGGAAGCGTCCCGCGATACGATCTGACGGCAAATTGTGTCGAGTGTAAACGCGGGGATTCGTCCCGAGAGTGGAGAGTGGCTTGTGTAAGGCCGTTAGAGATAAAGTTCGTAGGAATCTACGTGGAACGTCGAGAAGAGGGCAGCGTCGAAGCTGGAATTTTATAAGTGGTATGCCGCGCGCGCGCGCTCACAGAGAGAAACACGCGCGAAGATTCTCTAGGGCTTTTGCACGCCTAGCGCGCGGCGCGATTCCTCACTTCGCGCGCGCACCGCGATCTAAATTAAAATCTTTCCCCGGCCTCGTCGATTCTCCGACTGCGCGGCGTAACGGGTGACGGCTAGAAAACGAGAAGCGAGTTTTTAGTGCGTCGAAAACGAACGAAAGCGTTGAAAATAAAAAAAATAAATAAATAATTAAAATTGCGCGCGCGGTAACGGTAATGAGCATCCAACCGAAGCGGGCGTGTGATTTTTCGATCGCAACATTACATGATGTACCTGAAAATTTATTTGACATTTATTTAAATTAATTGAATATCTATTATATGTCTTTCTCTCTCTCTCTCTCTCTCTCTCTCTCTCTCTATGTATATATGCGGATTGAAGTCTCTCACGTAGAAAATGTACAGAAATCTTCCGGACTTCAAATCGACTGTGAAACTACTGACATTACGTGGGACTCTTCCGGAGCACCGTGTATAAACCACCTATGATTGTCGATCTGTTTGGATCCCTCTCGCGCTCTATAATTCAGCAGCGACTTTCTAATAGCGGTCGGATTGCGATCCGCGATTGCAGATATACAACCCGAGCCTTCGCACCTTCGATGAGAGAGACCCTTTGCGCGCGTGTAGACGCGCCGAACATTACCTACCTCTGATTTTATTATCGAGTTTCCACCACGCCGCGTCAATAAAAGTCAATGAAAAAGGTGCTAAACGTTTCGCGCGCGAACGGAAACGGGAGTGTTTATTGTACGTGTCGCGTAGAGCTAGAGAATAATGTCGTATATAAAACTCGCGGACCGATGTGGTTTTTATTGCCGCGGCGTGAGTTTTGATTTTCGCGTCGTTATATCCCGCGTAACGAATGCGAAATATATTTTCAAACACGGGGCGGGACCGTTAGAAGATTCGAAATGGTGCGAGAAACACGACTTGTGTGCGCGCTTTTATGTGTCCCGACCTTTTGCTCTCTTCCGCTCTTCTGAGATTCTAATTCTAAAAACGTGCGAGAAAGATGGATGATTAATTTAGCCGCGCCGCGCTTTTGTCCGCCCGAAACTCTCGCCGCTAATGACTAGCTCGACGATGACACCGCGAATGTGAAATCATCGCGAAATTCGGAACGTGAACAGTTGTCGCACGATACGAAGGAGAGGTGACGTTTTTATTATTCTCGCGATTATGCAATATCAGGAAACAGCAAATAACATCTATTAAGAGATTCTACGTACCGCGTATATAGTGTGTCTGTGTGTATGTGTGTGTATATCTCAACGCGAACAGTGTATCGAGGCATCTTTGATATTCATTTGCTAATAGCACACGAGAATGAATGTGAAACGACAAAAATAATACTTTGAAACGCGCACATTTTTTTACTCGAAAGTTACGAGAAATATGATATGAGGTTACTGCTGTAACACACACTCGCGCCGTGTCATTTTCCGTCAACCATCTTAATGCCACGACTTCTCTCGTAAGGAAGAAAAAATATTCGCAGCGGAACGCGCTCGCGCAGGACGAAATTAAAATCGTGAGAATACAGCCGCACTTTGGGGACGTTTTTTTTTTTTTTTATGCACTCATTTTACTGTTATCCACCGCGTCGTCGCCGAGTAACGAAGATCACATTAGAGAGTCCCCTCTCGTACATTAGACACGGTCTCGAGACCCGCGCTCGTCGCAGATTTTCTTTTTTTTCTTTCGTCCCTCTCTGAATCGAATTGGACGTTTCGCGATTAGCCAACTAGAAGGCGCGCGTGGGAGTCGAGAAAGGCCCGTCGTAAACCTCTCGAGAATCTCGAAAAAAATATATTAACATCACTTTTTATAGCGGGATTCTTACCTCCCCGAACTCTCACGCGAGAACCGCGGGGAGCACGGCAGAGAGGACCTAAGTCCTCCCGGGGACATCTTGGCGGTCCTTCTCGCCAAATATGGCTATCGCGCGTCTCCCGAGAGTATCTTAATTCCCCGACTCGTCGGGCTCACGCGAATTGTCTCATTTAAAGCCAACATCACCTCCCCCTCGTCGCCTCTTTCTGAGCTAATAAAGCCGTTGAGTGACGGCTCACCCCCGTCCACACGTGTCACGTGTGTGCGGGGACTCGCCAGGACGCGACGTGTCACTTCACGGCCGCAGATGGCCTTGAGAGATGAACGCGCGCGCGTGCGCGGGGTCGTTTTTATTTGTTTCAACGGCGAGTATAAAACGCCGCGAATATGGACAAACACGCACGATGAATATTAATTTGTTTCTTAGTCAAAAGTTTTTTTTTCGTTCCCGCTTGATTTAATATGCTTGAGAGAAAAAAAATTACTCTGAAGTAATTTAGTTGTTTAGTTTTTTCACTTTTTATTGGTTTCCTGTTTTATCTCGATTTTCGTTTACGATAATATTTTGACACACAGAATAGATAGGAATAGGTTTATGAACAATTTCGGATAAAATTTAAGACGACTAATAAGCAAAAACAAAAAACAATTGCTAGAATTTTAAGATTTGCAGCGCGGCATTGAAATCACTTGCTCGCTAGAACTTTTGACCGCAGTGAACACATCTCGCGCGGCATTGAAATCGTTTTGCGCGATAAAAGATCGAGACGCGAAGGTCAACTTCTAGGAAAAAAAAAGAGGATGTTTTTACGTGATAGCGCGAAAAAAACATAGAATATTAAAGCGCTTGTGATGATAATGAGCAGTCTTGATGTTTCCGCTCGACTGTCATTCGAGTGTCTCTGTCGTCAGCAACTATTTTTAGAATTGTTTTTATGGAGACGATCGTATCCGGTCATTTTGTTTTTACACGCTGTAAAAACCTGGAATTGATTGCTTTATAGATTTACGTAAATTTCCGAAAAACGCGTGACGTTACTCGGCCGATCGTTAAAAACATAACTGCCACTTTTGATAGAAATATCTCTTTTATTTCTGAAACAAAGATTCTATTGTGCACGTCTACGCCACGCGCAATTTTATTAAATTGCACACTTGTGTTCGTCTGAGTATTACGAAGTAATTCATCTGCATTGCAGATTATAGCACGCGATTGATTATTGTTGAAAACCACAGCCTCGAGAGTTTCTTTACGAACACAATAAAAATCAAAAAACGAGTTGTGAATATGTAAAAGAGACAATATACATTTGTTATCGCGCTTATATTTATGAATTGTTTTTCTCGCAAAATACGTCGCAACTAAATAAGAATGTCTTTCCGACATTCATCACATTCGATTTGTGGCTAAACTGAAAACAAACAGCGCAATTTATTCGCGTCGTATTGGAAAATTAATTTGCAATCGATTCGACGTCGTCGGCCCCGACGAGCCGGCGCGCTTTGTGGTGGGAGAGCATCAGCCCCCAGGTTCTATGAAATTTAAATTAGATGTCGTTGCGTTTAGATCGCAATGCCGCGATAGGGAAACCGCGGAGTTACACATCCACGAATCCCGCGGATTACGGTCTCCGTAATTACGAATAACGTATAATAATATGCGCACGAATATCAGAGAAAGAAGAAACGTCCACGACGCGGAGGTGCTTATCGCACAATCGCTCCTATTAGCAAAAGTTCTCATCAAGCGAAACCGATATTATATGCGCCGTCACACAGCCATCTCCCTCGTCGTTGTCATTACACCATTGCACGTATATCTCGAATATCCCATCTGCCTTAGCATGACGACAAAAGAGAATCATTATCACTCGTTGCGCGTTTGTCATCATTCACCACAGTTGGCATGCGCCTGCTAGCGTATTAGACACGTCTCTCGCACACGGGAACGCACGATGCTTATCATTTTTCTTTTCTCTCTCACGTTTTCCACGCGTGCGAGCGCGCACACATTGAAACCGCGCATATTCCCGAGCACGATAAACTGCACTCTCATGTGACCACAATGTGAGAAACAATAAGTCCGATTATCTGTTTGGAAACTGGAGTAACGCGAGCTTGTTTTACACTTGATACCATCAATTTGCGCAATTACATTATTTAACGTTCACATCAACGTTCAGACGTGTCTCGCACATTTGCTCTGAGATACTTTTAAGAAAATTTTCTCATTATCCGAATACTCTAGAGGAGGAACAAGACATAGAGCACGCAAGTGTTTCCAAACAGACGACTTTCGTTTCGCGCTTTCGTTCGCGGAACAAGCAGACTGTCTCACGTTCGAATTTGTACAAAAAAAAAAAATCAAGGGATTAACCACGCAAATCTCCGTTGACGAGACGATCTCAGGTACTAAGAGCACAGCTTTTTTGCTTGGCTTCCAGGTCGAGTCTGTGAAAACAGGAAACAAAAGGGGTGAGATAAGGGAGAACGGTCGGGGGTGAGAACGCTCTGGGGGTAGGGTGCAAAAATTGTAAAAAAAAAAAAAAAAAAAAACCGCGCGGAAGTGAGAAGGGCACGGAAACGGGAAACGTGGCATGATCGGGTGCGAAAAGGTGCAAAGTCAGGATGCTCACGATACAGCGCACGGAGTCGTTGAGAGGGGGAGAAGGCTGCAACCCTCCCGGCACGCATTTGCTACCTCCTGTCGCGCCCGGGGGTGCTTCCGGATGGAAGCCCGCCGAGAGAAGCGTCTCCTTCAATCGAGACGTCCACGTGAAGAGGATCGGTGAGTCCAGGCAATATCACACCACATACAGACTGCGACATATCCTGCATATGTATGCGGAGCGAGAGAGATCGAGAGTAATGGCGCTGCTTGATTCTTCGGGAGTTTGCACATTTCTTGATTATATAAACTTTGTAGTAGCGTCCCCCCGAAGATGTTCACAAAATCGGTACAATCAGAAAATTCAAATCTCTTTAAACATTGAAAGAATTTAAGTTAAATTCTACAAGCTGCCGGCGGGGCGAATTTCGGTCGGACCCTTCGTCTAACAGTACATGGTCCACGCGCGCGAGGTCCAAGTACCGTTGCCGAATTAAAATCTGATAAATGCGAAGCTTACGTGACGTCGTGTTCACAAGGACGATCTTCCGGTACAATATTCGCGGTGCGTTACACGTTATACGCGGTCAGAATTTAATGTAACTATAAAAGTGCACGCGCGCGCGTTCTCAGTTAAGATGAGAGAAACAAAAAATGTGCGCGAAACGATTTTTTATTCCGCGATGTGGCACGATGTCTTGTATTTCGAAAAAAAAAAAAAAAAAAAAAATTACGAGTCGGCTCTAGAGAGCGATCCCAGATTGTGGAAATTATTCCCGGCGTCTCTTCTTCTCTCATTCTCCTGCTAGCCGCTCCAGCGGCGATCTCGTCTCTCGCGCGACCACCGTTTCTCAGAAGCATCCCGAGGAGCTGGAAAATTATGCGCGCGACCGTGCGAAATTCCTCTGCCGTCGCGTTTGATCTTGTCGAGATGTGAACATAAAGCGCGCGCGAGACAAAGATGTGAGAAAGTTCGAAAGTTGTACAAATTTAATTACACGCGCACAATTGCAAATAGCGAAAAATATATTAATTCTCTAATTACGTGTTAATTATCACATCACAGAATTGATATGCAATCGTGAGAGAGAAGATTATTTTGGTTTTTTCGATTGCGAATTGTATTAATGCGACCGAACGCACCCAAAGCGAACACGTCAAGCAGCGTCATAGCGCAACGTGCTATGTAATTCGCCTAACTTTTTTGTGTCTAACTTTTGCAGTACTCTCTCGATATCAGTGTGTGATAACACTACTCATAATCAGCAGAGCCTGGCCGCAGACTAACGGCACGACAAAATAATCGTTACGCTATCGATCTGTTTGTTTTTCTTTGCGTTTGTGTTGTCTAATATCAATAATGGCATTTTAATTGTATAGCTAATCGATCGCGTAACAATAACCTTGACCTCCCTCCCGGAAATGATGGCGGCGATCTCGATGACCTTGACACTGTCGAGAGGAAGGTCAGCGAGCCGTGGCCATCTTGCATCCGAGGAGTGACGACGATTTCATTTCAAAGACGCGCGTCTTCGCTATCTCTCGCAATCTTCTTAATGCAATATGTAGGATTGTAATGGTTTATTGGTGTGTGTTTGCGCAGGACTCAGTTATCATCCTCTTTTACTGGCTAATTATTAATTTATTAATTATATTAATAATATATATGACCCCCCTTTCTCTTATACCACAAACGCGAAAAACAAACGTTCTTTGAGTTAATCTGTCTATCGTTTTTTCCTGCAAGTTCTTATGTCATACATTTTGTATGAGTTCAGCTTCGCAAGTAAAAGTGAGAAAGCGAAAAAAACAAAAACAAAAAAAAAAGAAAATGATTACCAACAAAGTTGCACAACCGATCTGTTTCCAGGTTGCGGAATCGCGCGCGATCATTATATTACGGCTGGGTCACGTAGATATACTAAAAGCGGTGTACCGAGAATACCGCGCTTCTATCTTGTTTATGCGCAGTTTCAGGAAAGCAACTTAATATGCCACACACTACGAGTGCGCGGGCAAAAGTGTACGGGGATAAACGCGGCAGATAAAGCTAAACGCAACGAACCGTCGCACAAGTTACGATCGTTTCCGCTTTCCGCGTGTATCGCAACACGATAATCAAAATTAATTCGAATTCTTCGCATTTTTTATCGCCAACCCGATCGTTCGTGAGATTGCTCGTAAAATATTTCGTACACTCAAATCAGACGGATGTCGAAGATATATATATATATATATATCTTTTCCTCGTGGTTTTTCTTCCAAACTCTCTTGGACAAAAGAAAGAAACATTTCGATCGACAAGGCGGAGTGTCAACGTCGCGATCGGACACGCGGTCGACGAACTCTCACCCGCTCCGCTCACTTTTTGCAATGAGACGCGAGCAACAAAAGTACACACGCTTCTCCCGGTACAATTTACCGCGAAATCACGATAATCGAGTTGAGGGTCGGGAGAGCGTAATTAAATTCGGATATTTATTATCGCGCGGGTTATTCCCTCGATGGTATCGTCGGTCAGTGGAGTAGTGATTATGAGAGAGAGAGAGAGAGAGAGAGGGGAAGAAGTTATCTGCTTCTCAAAAATATTTCTACACGCGTACCTATGTATGTGTGCGATTTATGTGGAGATTCTTAGAAACTCTACTAGAAATGTGTACATTTCTCTAGTAAAGATACTTATCAACGGTTCGGGGTGTATCAGAGAAAAGTATAGGAAAAGAGAAGTGAAAAAAAAAGAACTTTTTTTGTATTAATTAACAATATTGATTTGCATCATCTGTCTTCTGTCAATTTTTTTTTGCCAGTCAAAAATCGCTCGGTAACGATCGAAGAACGGTCGAAACGGAGCGCCGACTTCGTGCCGCGATAAAAAGTCTCATACTGGTTGCATTAGCGGTCGCACCGTATTTCTTATTATCCGGCGCGAGGTGTGTGTTTCTTATTATCCTCCCTTTTCCTTCTTTCACTTTATCTTTCTCTCTCTCTCTTTCTCTCTCTCTCTCTTTGCCTTTCCCTTCTTGTCGTCAATGCGGGCGGTCTCGGGAAGTCAGCCTAGTTGGGTGCAGCATTGCGTTCGCGCATGTGCCTCTCGTCCAAGCTTGTTAAGGGGCCCCTTGTGTCGTCCGCATTATCCCGCCTGCCGGCGTTTCCTGGATCGTCGCGTGCTCCGCGATCGCGGAGAGAGAGAAAGAGAGACCAGCCCCAACCCGTTGGCGGATGCGTGCGTGCGTGCATGTATATATATATATATATATGTGTGTGTGTGTGTGTGTGTGTGTGTGTGTGTGTGTGTGCGTGTGTGTGTGTGTGTAAAGCATGTGTGTGTATGTGTGTACGTAACGAGGTGTAATACGCTTCGCGATCGCGCTGCGATCTTCGTTAGATCGCTAATGGACGCCGCACGGAAATCGCCTCGAGATCCGCGCGCTCCGAGAAATTGATTGTTATTCGCGAAACAAGCTCGAGCTCCGGTCTTCCTCTCTTCTTGTACCACCTAACTGGTTAAACAGTTAATTACTTGCTGCCAAGGTGGCAAATATCGCGTTAGAATTCCTCTCCGCGATGTGGAAAGAGGATAGTCTAGATTAAATACACTTGTAATTTTTACGTGATAACGCGAGGATATACTCTCTTACTATGTATCGGGTTGTGTACGCGAGAGCAGCGCAAATATGAGGAAGTAGTTAAAGCATCTTAAAGAGAGCACAGCGAGAAAGAAAGAGAGAAGCAACAATGTAAGAGATCGCGTATCAAGAAGACCTCGTGTGTAAGCCGCCGTCATTAATACCGAACGAGCTCGTCTTCCCTTCTTGTCTGAGAAATGGCAACGCGATTAATCTCGAATTAGCAGCGAATATCGACAAGACGGACTCAAAATCACGTTAATTCTTATCTCGCGACACACTCCTGTGTGTTAAGTTTGTAAAAGAATTTTACCACGTATAATTTCTCTTTTCTGTGTATGAAATCAAATAATCTATATTTTTAACTCTTGTTAAATAACTGTTTTTAACTCTAATTTTGTAACTGTCACTTTTTTCTTTTTTTCTTTCTTTCTTTTTCTCTCTCTCTCTCTCTCTCTCTCTCTCTCTCGACTTGTATTGCCACATTGTGAAGCCTTTGTCTTCACGGTTGCGTGTCGAGCAGCCTTAAGGTCTCGAACGACCGACAGAAACGAGGAAGTGCCGGGGATATCGGACGGGACCGAGTCGAGAACGTGGGGTCGCACTGGCATCGCTTTTGCGAGCTCTTATAGAGGAAACGGGGGAAACGTATGTTACCAGGGATGAAAGGTTACGGAGGTGAGACACGTACAGATTATGGGAATACAAATTAGCGCGACTCAGTCGTGAACGTAAATAAACTTAACGCATAATCTGTCTAATGGCGATTCGGAAAAAAAAAAAAATGCAGTAAAATCCTCTCGGAATGAGTTACACCGATCAAACGTAGGTTATAACTTTCACCGTAAAGAAATTTGATTGAACTTTCGTTCAATCGATTGAACGGCCAATTAGAAATCACGAAGAATCACACAACAAACTTATGAGGATTCAACGAGGCTTCTAATTAGATTTTTTTCGCATTTTATTTGCCATTCGGATTCGCGATTTGCGGAAGACGCACGCGTTGATCGCAACCGCAGGTCATCAAAGTGTCTACGAAGAAAACATTCCTCTCGCAATTATGACATCATGCGCTAAAATCATTCATCAGTGTCAACGTGAACCGCCGTGTTTTTTCCAAGACGTTCGTCGCCGGTGATCAATCTTCGGAAATTAGCTTTGCTTGTGTAAAATTCTCGCTCGATAAAACTCAAAGGACAAAATAACGGGGTGGAGGGGAAAGGGGGAAAAAACCATAACATACGAGAAGTAGAAATTAACGGAAAATAATGCGAAGTTAACGAGGATATTGTACGACCGATAAATTTTCATTCCGTTTCGATCCGTGGAGATAAAATTGTACAGTTATTGTCCTCTGAAACTGCTCCGCGCGCGCTAACGAGAAAACTCGCGTGTCAAGAGCGAGGATGTTTCAGGAAAGGTGCGGCAAAAGGAGAGAAACTAAGTCGTTGCACTTAGCGGCGGCCGTTTTGTTGCAACTCTCGGACTTGCTTCTCTCTCTCTCTCTCTCTCTCGACTTGTAT